TATTGGATCTTCAGCACATGGAATTATTCGCCTAAAAGATTTGTTAGAAAAATACTTCATTTCATACAATTTTACACTTAGGTCCAAGTAAAGTTTCCGGTGAATTAATAACTGGTACTGTGGTAGTAGCATTGTTATATGCATAGCTATCGATAATGCGAATTGGTATAATATCTTCTTGACGACATTTGAAAATTTCTTGAATCTCTTCTATTGTCATCAATTTCTTGTGTGAATATAAATGATTATATTGTTTTAAATAATTCAGAGCTTTCAACACTTGTACTGGACTAAACGAATAACTAACAGTAGTACGAATCTCATTATTTTGATGTGGTTTTTCCTGTACGACAGCCAAGAATTCATAGCATCGTGGAAATGGTAATAACTCATCAACAATTACACTTGTATCAACATGAAAATGCACTACCTGACCCTTTAACGCAGTTTGACGACCACGAATTAAAATAATACTCATATAGATGTGACTTAATGTAATTGCTCGTTGTTCTATAAAATCTAATATTAGATCTTCTGGTATCGAAGTAATTTCTAATTTATTTTTATAACGTGCAAAACGACAATAAGGATAATTATTGGATGGTGTAAATTCAATACATTTTCTGCATAAGATTGACCTTCAACTACATCGTGATATAATTCATGTTGTTTAGCAGCATTTTGAAACTGACTCTCAGGATATAATGACGTACAACAAATGCATGGAAGCCAACGTTGAAGAATCATTGAAAAATATCTAATAATTACTTTTTTTATTCAATATAAAAATCAGATAACTAGTTAACAGACCTTTCTTTTAAAAAATTATGGATATCAGCAGATTCAAATTCTTCTTCCATCGGTGAATCAATACTCCATGAATCAAATCGAGATGTACCTGCAATATTGTCTTTGTTTAAGTTTTGATATTTACATTTATGACGTGTTTTAGACGATGACTTTGTGTATTGATTCTTTTTCATTTTTTTTGACGGCTTTGAATTCCTATTGGTTTTGTTTCCTTGAGAAGGTTTTAAATTTCTATTTTTTTTTCTTTGATTTCGATGGCTTCGAATTCCTGTTCTTCTTCTTTCTTTGTGAAGGTTTTGAATTTCGGTTTCGTTTCTTTATTTCTAATAATTTCATACTTGTACTGTCGAAAGTATCAGACACTTCCGAATCTGAGTCATCCTTGTCCATTACTCTTTTTACGATCGCACAAGTAACAATACTGTTGATAATTATCAGCGATTATTGCATTGAATAATATAACAAAAGATTCATATTAATCATAAATATACATTTTATTTTATGTCGCGCTGTTTGTGAATTAGTTTTTCAGCTAACAGATTTTCTAATTTAGCAAAACAAAATAAATTCTCTCTTAGTTTCTCAAAAGATAATTTAAAAGAATCCATTTGAAACACAATGTACAATAATTTAATTACCCTTTCATATGGTTACTCAATTGTTCGGTAAATTTTAAAAATTATGTTTATTCAAAGTTATAGTACTTCAATGTCAAAAAAAAATATCATTAAGATTATCTTGTATCCGATTCTGAAACTTTCATTAAAAATAGTTATTCAATGCTCTAATGAAGACTCAACTATATAAACCATTTAATTATGGAATTTAACAACCAAACTTCATTGAAACTTTAATCAATAATTACTTTTATTTGCATGTTAAATTCAAAACACAATGGCTTAGAATAATATCTACAAATAAATAATTAAACTTTGAATAAAATATTAAATTATTAATGTTAAATGTATTTAATATTACCAATATCCTTACATATCAAAGCTAATCGTATATGTGCATATAAACAAAAATATCGATATGTTAAAAATCAAACGATTTTCTAAGCGATACGTTTACTATGTAGTATTTATTATCAATAAAGTTAATAAGTCATGAATATTTTTCTTTATATGTAATACTGTTTTCTAAGTACTTTATAAAGACTCAAGTAAATTATAAGTATGTTCAGTTTTCCAGCTATAGTTTTGACTTTTTATATGTTTATAAATATTTACGATTACTTTGATAACCGCTTAAAATAATCATGAAGCTTGATTGAAACGATTTGTTATATCAAAAATCGATTTAGCTATATATTTTCAATGAATACCTTTGTTAAAATAATAGTCTATCTTTGAATATTAACAGACACACCACTTATTCCTCATAAGAAACAAAAGATTGTTCGCTTCTGACGAACTTTAAAAAAAAAACTTTTATTTAACTAAACAATTATTACTGTGATAAAAAAAGAATTTTTTACTTAATAATAATGTCATCGAAATAAGTCAGGTAAAAACCAAAACATATAATTAAAGTATCTTGCTTGCAAAATAACCTATTTAGTAATACACGACATCATTTAACAAAATAACGGGAGATAGTAACATGAAGAAAAAATTGCTATGCGAAACTAATAGATTCAAAAAACGATGGCTCCATTTTTTTTAATTAGAAGGATCNTTGTTTTAAATAATTCAGAGCTTTCAACACTTGTACTGGACTAAACGAATAACTAACAGTAGTACGAATCTCATTATTTTTAAGTGGTTTTTCCTGTACGACAGCCAAGAATTCATAGCATCGTGGAAATGATAATAAATCATCAACGATTATACTTGTATCAACATGAAAATGCACTACCTGACCCTTTAACGCAGTTTGACGACCACGAATTAAAATAATACTCATATAGATGTGACTTAATGTAATTGCTCGTTGTTCTATAAAACCTAATATTATATCTTCTGGTATTGAAGTAATTTCTAATTTATTTTTATAACGTGCAAAACGACAATAAAGATAATTATTGGATGGTGTAAATTCAATACATTTTCTGCATAAGAGTTGACCTTCAACTACATCGTGATATAATTCATGTTGTTTAGCAGCATTTTTAAATTGACTTTCAGAATATAATGACGTACAACAAATGCATGGAAGCCAACGTTGAAGAATCATTGAAAAATATCTAATAATTACTTTTTTATTCAATTATAAAAATCAGATTACTAGTTAACAGACCTTTCTTTTAAAAAATTATGGATATCAGAAGATTCAAATTCTTCTTTCATCGGTGAATCAAAACTCCATGAATCAAATCGAGATGTACCTGCAATATTCTCTTTGTTTAAGTTTTGAAATTTACATTTATGACGTGTTTTAGACGATGACTTTGTGTATTGATTCTTTTTCATTTTTTTTGACGGCTTTGAATTCCTATTCTGTTTTCGTTTTTTTGACGGCTTCAAGTTTGTATTGTTACTTCTTGCCTTTGACGGCTTTGAATTCCTATTGATTTTGTTTGTTTGAGAAGGTTTTAAATTTCTATTTTTTTTCTTTGATTTCGATGGCTTCGAATTCCTGTTCTTCTTCTTTTTTTGTGAAGGTTTTGAATTTCGGTTTCGTTTCTTTATTTCTAATAATTGCATCGTTGTAGTGTCAAAAGTATCAGACACTTCCGAATCTGAGTCACCCTTGCCCATTACTCTTTTTATGATTACACAAGTAACAATACTATTGATAATTATCAGCGATTATTGCATTGAATAATATAACAAAAGATTCATATTAATCATAAATATACATTTTATTTTATGTCGCGCTGTTTGTGAATTAGTTTTTCAACTAACAGATTTTCTAATTTAGCAAAACAAAATAAATTCTCTCTTAGTTTCTCAAAAGATAATTTAAAAGAATCCATTTAAATAACAATGTATAGTAATTTCTGTATCCTTTCATATGGTTACTCAATTGTTCGGTAAATTTTAAAAATTATGTTTATTCAAAGTTATAGTACTTCAATGTCAAAAAAAACAACATTAAGATTATCTTGTATCCGATTCTGAAACTTTCATTAGAAATAGTTATTCAATTTTCTAATGAAGACTCAACTATATAAACCATTTAATTATGGAATTTAACAACCAAACTTCATTGAAACTTTAATCAACAATTGCTTTTATTTGCATGCTAAATTCAAAACATAGTGGCTTAGAATAATATCTACAAATAAATAATTAAACTTTGAATAAAATATTAAATTATTGATGTAAAATGTATTTAATATTTCCAATATCCTTACATATCAAAGCTAATCGTATATGTATATATAAACAAAAATATGTATATGTTAAAAATCAAACAATTTTCTAAGCGATACGTTTACTATGTATTGTTTATTATCAATAAGGTCAACAAATCATGAACAGATAATCTTAAGAATAGTTTTCTTTATATGTAATACTGTTTTTTAATCGCTTTTTAAAGAATCTACTAAATTATAATTATGTTCAGTTTTCAAGCTATACTTTTGGCTTTTTATATGTTTATAAATATTTACGATTACTTTGATAACCGCTTAAAATAATCATGAAGCTTGATTGAAACGGTCTTGTTATATCAAAAATCGATTTAACTATATATTTTCAATAAATACTTTTGTTAAAATAGAAGTCTATCTTTGAATATTAACAGACACACTACTTATTTCTGATAAGAAACATAAGATTGTTTGCTTCTCGCGAACTTTAAAAAAAACTGTTATTTAACTAAGCAATTATTACTGTGATAAAAAAAAGAATTTTTTACTTAATAATGTCATCGAAATAAGTCAGGTAAAAACCCAAACATATAATTAAAATATCTTGCTTGCAAAATAACCTATTTAGTAATACACGAAATCATTTAACAAAATAGCGGGAGGTAGTAAAGCTCGAAATGTTTTCTCGTTCAAGACGAAATATATTTGAATCTTCACTCTACCACTTAAATTCATCAGCGCAGTGAAATTTACTTCTACCTATGCAAAATACTCAACGCTCTGTTTAATTTTTTTCTGACAGATTTAACCCTTTCAGGACCGGCTTATTTTGAGCAAAAATTACAAATTTTTCAATTTTTCAAAAATGATTTATTCTTCTCAGATTTATCAAAATGTGAACATCAGAAGG